ATATAGGGATAATCTAAAGTTCACAACCTTTCAAATTACAAAGGTTAAGAATATAATGAGTTGTGAAGGGTGGATTTATTAATTTTGTAGTGCATTTTTTTTAAAAAGTTACTTTTTGGTGATATCTTCATTATTAAGGGTAAGTTTGTAAATATCACTACAAGACAAGGGTACTTTTATTATCTCCATAAGGGGTAAAGTTGAAAATTTTGCTAAAGGACATGGGCCCTTTATAAATAAAGTTCCAGGACACTAACTTCCAAAATGCCATTGTACTTTGGTAAAAATTTCAAATTTGCCTTTGCTTAATAGTTAATTTTACTTATTAAAATAATTTTTAAACAAAAGTAATGATTTTTTTGATAAATACACACATCACAACCCCTTCTAACATTAACCTTTGTATTTTGAGGGGTTGTTAACTCTAGACAAACCCATATATATATATATAGAGCAACGATCCAATGCAACGGTTGTATTATAGTATAATGCAACGACACTTCTAGAAAACCATGTTTGTGGTATTTATATGACCCTAAATTCTGCACACACAATCTCTTCATCTCAAGAGTCAATGCCCCCCAAAAAATTTTCAATTTGAACCCTAGATATGGTCAAAATGAGTCCACTCCATAAACGAATCTAGACCATTCATTTTGTTAATTTCCAGATCTTAGACTTTATAAACTCAAAATCATTTTTTTCTTTTTTAACATTGTTCATCTAATGATAATAAAGCCATCCAAAGAAATTTGAAATGAAAAAATCCTTCTAAGGCTTAGATCTAAGCATCTCACCAAAATAAACGGCCTATGTTAATTGGGCTAAAAAAATACTTTCTTGGTTGTGTTTTCAATTGTTTCTTTTTTTTGTGATTGTTCGCTAGAATGAAAAGAGTGTATATTTGAAAATTCGGATCAAACAAATGGCCATAAGATGGTTTTTAAGGTTATTGCATCATATTACTATACAATGGTTACATGAAATCATTGCCCATATATATATATATATATATATATATATATATAGTAGGTAATAATACTATAGACGTACGGTTAGTATAATAAGTATAATAGTACTACTACACTACTTACTAACGAAACCTAATTAGTTTAGGTACGTATTTAGTTATACGTA